ATGCAGAGTAGAGCACATTCTTCACATCTGGTCCTGTCCTGACTGGTCCAAGGGCTACAGCATGGGCAATCTCCTGTTTAATCTGTTCAAATGCTTGCTGTTGTTCAGGACCCCACTGGAAATCATTCTTCTTGCGAGTTACCAGATAGAGAGGGCTTACAATCTGGCTGTACTCGGGGATATGCATTCTCCAAAAACCTATGGCACCCAGGAAAGCTTGGGTTTCCATCTTGCTAATTGGGGGGGCCATTGCTGTGATTTTATCGATGACTTCAGTCAGGATCTGGTGACATCCATCTTGCCACTTTACTCCCAGGAACTGGATCTCTCGGGCGGGTCCCTTGACTTTACTCTTTTTGATGGTAAAACCAGCTTCCAGGAGAATCTGTATGATCTTCTTTCCTTTCTCAGAGACCTCTTCTGCTGTGTCCCCCCATATGACGATGTCATCAATGTGCTGTAGGTGTTCTGGAGCTTCACCTTTCTCTAGCGTAGCCTGGATCAATCCGTGGCAGACGGTGGGACTGTGTTTCCACCCCTGGGGCAGTCGGTTCCACATGTACTGCACGCCTCTCCACGTGAAAGCAAACTGCGGCCTGCACCCTGCTGCCAAGGGAATGGAGAAGAATGCATTCGCGATGTCAATAGTGGCGTACCACCTCGCTGCCTTAGACTCCAGCTCATACTGGAGCTCCAACATGTCTGGAACAGCAGCACTCAGAGACGGGGTGGCTTCATTCATGCCACGATAGTCCACAGTCAATCTCCATTCTCCGTCAGACTTATGCACAGGTCAGATGGGGCTGTTGAAGGGGGAGTGGATCCTGCAGATCACTTCTTGGCTCTCCAGCTCACGGATCATATTATGGATGGGGATCACAGAGTCTCGGTTCGTTTGGTACTGCCAGTGGTGCACTATTGTAGTGGCAATTGACACTCGCTGTTCCTCAACCTTCAACAGTCCTACAGCAGAAGGGTTCTCTGAGAGGCCAGGTAATGAATTCAACTGCTTAACTGCCTCTGTCTCCACAGCAGTTATTCCAAAAGCCCATCTATGTCCCTTGGGGTCTTTGAAATACCCATTCCTAAGGTAGTCAATGCCCAGGATACATGGGGCATCTGGACCAGTCACAAGGGGGTGTTTCTGCCACTCCTTCCAGGTCAAACTCACTTCAGCTTCCAACACGGTCAGCTGCTGCAACCCTCCTGTCACCCCAGAAATGGAAATAACCTCTGGTCCCACATGTCCTGAGGGCACTAATGTGCATTGAGTGCCAGTGTCAACCAAAGCCTTATATTCTTGTGGGTCTGATGTGCCAGGCCGACGGATCCACACAGTCCAATAGACACAGTTGTCTTGTGCCGTGGGCATTCAAGCGAGCGGGAAAGAACAACACATCTATAAGATGCAGATTCAAATCCGTTTTATTATCAGAAGACTACTCAATATATAATCTTTTGAGTCCTGGACATGCGACCAGGAGCACAGCATGCTATTATGATTGGTCAGCACACATTGTCCACGCGCCCCAGACAGTCCAACGATTGGTAGTCTTAAAGCACACATTCCTGGGAAAAGTTTCTGTTATCACCGTTTCTCACACATTGCTTTCTGCTGACCTCCGCATTCCTGCAGCTGCAGACTTGTTCTTGTTTGACTAACGGTCAGCTCCTGGCCTTCTCAGAACCCAGCACAATCCTTTAAAACTGCCAAGACCCCAGCAGTCCTGTACCTCTACCTGGCTAGAGGCAGGACCCCTCTAATACTGGTTTCTGTCCTGCTTGTCACAGTTTTCCATCTGCAAATACCGGCGGGAGGTACCTTCTAGCAGGTCAGATCCCTGCCCATGGGATACCGGCACTGCACTCACTTTCACGGACTTTGCTTTTTCCTTGTCCTTCAGCTCTTGTACTCGGGCTGCCAAGACATGGGTAGGTTTCCTGTTCCACTGTCTCATGTCCTCTCCATGGCCAGATAGGAAATACCACAGCTCGGTTCGTGAGGTCTGTCTACCCTCTCTAGCTGGGGGGCGCCCGGTTCTCACTGGTACCACCTGGGAACTGTTTCTCTCAATCTTTTCTAGGATTTTCTCCTATTGATCTTGTAGTTTTGTTGCTGTGGTAGTGAGGTTATTGATTGAGGTCTCTACAGAGGAAACGCGGGCTTGTAGTGATCCTTGGACCATACTGTCGTACATCCAAATTTTATTTGCTTTAAACACCACTGGCTCACTCTTTTCTCCAGCCTCCAATGATGTCAGGTAACTGACGTGCGCAGATGGCCCCATACGTATGAAAGTCCACAACATGTATGGTGTACATATAGTCTTGTCAGGATCATGATTAGCTTGCATATCCCTTCCAAACAGTACCTCCAACAGTGCCATTTCCCTCAGGCGTCGGATCCCCTCCTCCATGGTATTCCAGCTCTTCACAAAATGGTCTGTCTGCAAGGCCTCTCTGTAAAGGAACCTCTCTCTCACAGCATCCAGTAGCCGTGCCCAGAGAGACAGGGGCTTTGATTCTCTCATAAATGCCTCTTCAATGCCCACATCCTGGGCAATAGACCTCAAGAACCTTGCTTCAGCGCCATCAAGGTTTATGGCATCATCCATGGAGTCCCAAACTCGGATCATCCAGGTTAGTATGGGCTCATTTGGGTGACGAATGACGTCTGCCTGTAACTTCCGGAGGTTGTCATACGATAAGGACTAAGTGACGATTTCTGGCTCTGGGCTAGCTGCCTGTGAGGGTCCTGCCTCCCCATCATCATCAACTGGGTGAGCTGATTTGGTCTTATATTTCCTCTTTTGGATAGGGGCAACCTCCATTGACTTGTTTTCTCCCTTGGAACTGGTCTTTTTTGGAGTCACTCTTGTATCAAGTCTCTCATTTTCATTTTTTCCTTTTCCCTGTGAGGGTTGCACCATACCGAGCACCTTTTTGTAGGCAACGGCTAAAGCCCCACATGCATCTACCACCTGCCTTTCTATGGGTTTACCACGACCTCTCTCCATCACAGCTGTTATTATCTGTGTAGGGTTTAGGAGTTGTTCGAGAGTGAATTTCTATGTTGTAGGAACTGAACCACTTTCTAGAAATTTACCCACGTCCTCCCATGGCCCATGCCATTCGAGGTTTTCCACCCCTGGGGCAGGCTTCTGTGCCCATTTGGGGTAAATCCTGGTCTTAACTACAAATATTAGATATGACACCATGGCACAAACTTGCACAAGAAGCCCAAAAAGTAAAATGTCTCATATCTAAAGAGAGTTTAAATTTCTCAGAGGCCATTGTATTGGAACCAAAGGGAAAATGTATGAAGGGTTGGGCAGATATACCCTCCTGTGTTTCTCCATAGGGATAGGTGCCATTATCTTTAAAACCCCAAAGGAGACAGTGTAGGTTAGAGCAGTAATATATCCTTGAGAACATATCCTGGACGAAAATAACAGGTGTTGAGTTTGCTATGTCATAAAACCAGTGCAAGATCTCAAATATACTTATTACAATGAGAGCCATAGCGTCTGAGCTGAAAAACATCAACAAGTGGGACATAGATTTTGGCATAATTTTATACCACAGAAAAGCAATGATCTTAGACTTCATGGTGCCTACAGGTTCGCAAACACGTATAAAGTCACACAAGAGCAGTTATTCCTTTTCCACTTTTCCTCTCTCAGGTCCCACGCTGGGCGCCAAAAATGTCCCAGTTTAAATGAGACAAGGGTCTTTTGCTGAGGATAGATTAGGAGAAAAAGACCCAAACTTCTTTTTCTAAGTGATTATAAATCCAAAATTAGGAGGTTCCAATTGAAGGAAAACAAATTATGGAAAAGGGAAAATAACAGCCCTTGATTAAAAGGCATGTGTACATTAACAGGAACACAGGAAAAAAAAAAGTAAAACAACCAAGCAATACTCCTATACCGACCAAATAATCCCCTTCAAGAACAAAACCGATAAACCGGCAAAAGGAAAATTAAATAGTTCAAATTTTTTGCACCCTTTGGTGCAGTTCAAACCACAGTCAGTAGGGGTCGCTGTTGGGGCACTGGAGATGCAAAACTTGTAATGTCCTGTACCATTCACCAGGTGGTGCTGTTGGGTCACTGGAGGAACAGAGATTGTAATGTCTAGTGCCCGTCACCAGGCAGCGCTGTGAGATCCTTGGTTGCCACCAGGTGGGTTGGGGGAGGGGGGAAAAAAAGCAACACCCCCCAGGGTATATTGGAGAAAAACCAAAAAAACTCAATTCCCCTTCCCTTCCCACACTGGAAAAAAAAAGGGGGGGGGGGAAGGGGGAAGAAAAAAACCAACAATAAAACAGAAAGTTCTCCCAATGGAAGAAAACTCATGAACTTCAGCTGGTTAGGATTTCGCTTTAAGCCGGGCCTGCAGCCAGCAACAACTGAGCAGAGAGCAGCAGCAAGCTCTCTTCTGACAGAAAAAAAAAAAAAAGAAAAACCAGGCAGCGTCTGCAGCTCGCAGCAGGCTCCGCTGAGGGCAGAGAGCTGAGCTGACACCCATCCCCACCTCCTTCCAACCACACACACTAGCCCCCCCAACTCCTCCCCCTTCGTTGTCAAGGAGACTAATCTCTCGGCCATCAGTGGACCAGGTTAGTTCTTTTGTTCACCTTATGGCCCATACACAGGGCACACACGTCAGGGGGAAGGGAAAGAAAAAATTCCTTGCTAAAATCAGAACTATGACACTTCCAAGTCAACTGCCCTTGTCCTTAAGGGGGACTTCAACTTACCAGAAATAAACTGGGAGCATCACACAGCTGGTACAACCTGATCCAGAAGATTCCTAAAAAAGCTCGATGACAACTTCATGGAACAGGTCGTAAGGAACCGACTCAGAAAGATGCTGTCATGGGTTTGTTCCTTGATCTACTGCTTGTCAACAGAGTGGATCTTGTGAGCGAAGTGGAGATTGGTTTAAAATCTCTGTTGACAAGGGGGAAAGTGCCAGTAAACCTCAACTCTGGACATGAGGTCCCCTGGGAAAATGTTTTTGCAGGTGCTGGGGTCCATCAGTGCTGGTCCGTTTCAAACATCACCTCCTAAGAGCAAAGGAACAGGCAATTCCCAAATGTCAGAAATCAAGCAGGCAAGACAGAAGGCTGGTTTGGCTGAGCAGGAATCTTCTCTTGGAGATAAGGCAAAAACAGAATGCGTGTGCCCAGTGGAAGCAAGGTCAAGTGACATGGGAAGAATTCAGACGTGTTGCTTGCCACTGTGGGGAGAAAATTTGTGTGGCCAAAGTTCAACTGCAGTTGAAGCTGGGCAGAAATGTGGGGGACAATAAAAAGAGTTTTTTCAAATATATTAATGGCAATAGGCAATATAGAGATATCATCGGCCCATTCCAGGATGAGGATGGTCACCTCACAAACAGGGACAGAGATAAGGCAGAGGTGTTTAATGCTTTCTTTGCCTCTGTTTTCACCATGGATAATGGACCAAGGGGGTTAGAGTCTCAGTGCCATGAGCTGGAGGACCATGACTGCAAGAACAATCAACTCCCAGTTGACCCTGAAATTGTGTGGGATCTCCTGCTAGAGCTAGATCCTTACAAATGTATGGAGCCTGATGGGATTCATCCCAGAATCCTCAAAGAGGTGGTTGATGTCATTGCAAAACCTCCTCGATGATTTTTGAGCAGTCATGGGAATTCAAATAGGTCCCAGCTGACTGGAAGCTGGAGAACATTGTCCCAATTTTCAAGAAGGGCAAGAAAGAAGGACCCTGGAAACTACAGACCTGTCAGTCTCACTTTAATGCCTGGTAAAGTTATGGAGAAAATTATTCTGGGAAGTATTGGAAAACACCTGAAAGACAACTCTCATCGGTCACAGCCAGAACGGCTTCACGAGAGGAAAGTCCTGCTTATCAAACATGATTTCCTTCTATGCCAAGGTAACCCACCTAGCTGATCAAGAGAAGACAGTTGATGTAATCTTTTTGGATTTCAGTGAAGTTTTTGATACTGTCTCTCACAGGATCCTTCTGGACAAAATGTCCAACCCACAGTTGGATAAACTCATCATGTGGTTGATGAGCAATTGGCTCATGGGTCAAGCACAGAGGGTAATAGTGAATGGGGTAACATCAGGTTGGCGACCTGTCACTAGGGGGATTCTGCAGGGCTCCATCTTAGGCCCTGTGCTCTTCAACATCTTCATAAATTACTTGGATGCAGGGAAGGACCAAGGGATACTAAGCAAGTTTGCAGATGACACAAAACTGGGAGGAGCTGTTAACCCCCTCAAAGGCAGGGAGACCCTGCAGAGAGACCTTGACAAATTAGAGGACTGAGCAATCACCAACCATATGAAGTTCAACAAGGGAAAGTGCCAGACTCTGCACCTGGGATGGGGCAGCTCTGCATGTATGTACAGACTGGGGAATGAGATGCTGGAAAGCAGTGCGGCAGAAAGGGACCTGGGGGTTCTGTTTGACGACAAGTTGAACATGAGTCAGCAGTGTGCCTTGGCAGCCAGGAGGGCCAACCATGTCCTGGGGAGCATCAGGCAAAGCATCCCCAGCTGGTCAAGGGAGGGGATTGTCCCTCTCTACTCTGCACTGGTGTGGCCTCACCTTGAACATTGTGTGCAGTTTTCAGCACTACAATATAGGAAAGGTATTAAGTTAGTAGAGAGTACCCAAAGGAGGGCAACGAAAATAGTGTGAAGGGCCTTGAGGGGAAGCCGTATGAGGAGTGGCTGAGGTCACTTCGTCTGTTCAACCTGGAGGAGACTGAGGGGAGACCTCATTGCAGTCTACAACTCCCTTGTGAGGGGAAGTGGAGGGGCAGACACTGTGGTGATCAGCGACTGGACCTGAGGGAATGGCCTGAAGTTGTGTCAGGGGAGGTTTAGGTTAGATATTAAAAAAAGGTTCTTCACCTAGAGGGTGACTGGGCACTGGAACAGGCTCCCCAGGGAAGTGGTCACAGCACCAAGCCTGACAGAGGTCAAGAAGCATTTGGGTGATACTCTCAGGTATATGGTGTGACTCTTAGGGATAATCCTGTGCAGGGTTATGTTGTAGTAAATAGAGGACGACCATAAAAATAAAACTGGGCACTTCATGATGATGGCCTAAATTCAGCTTTTTATTGCTTCATCCTGTATATTACATCTTGTTCTCACACAGCTGCACTCACACATTGACTGTAGAATCTTACATACCAAAACTATTCTTAGTTCTATTATCTATATATTATTACCAGCCTTCACATATGATTGGATGTTCACTTCTTATTTACATTCTTTTCCTTGCTGCTAGTCTCCACAGCCTTGCTGCATACCTCCACAGGGCTAAGAGTTGGACTCGATAATCCTTGTTGGTCCCTTCCAACTCAGCATATTCTGTGAAACAGGGCTTTCCCTTTGTGAACTCATGTTGACTGTGCCTGATGATGGCACTGTTATTTAAATGCCTTTCAATAGCAGCCAGTATGATCTTCTCCATATTTTTTCCATGTATTGAGTTTAAGACTACTATGTGTGTAGTTCGCTGGGTCTTCCCTCACACCCTTCTTCTAAGTAGGAATACCATTAGCCAGCTCCTAGTCAGCTTCAGTCCCCAGTCTCCCCAGACCTTTGACAGATGATTGAGAGAGTTCCTGTCATAACATCTGCTAGCTCCTTCAGTATTCTGGGATAAATCCCATCAGATGCTGTGGACTTGCAAATGTTCAGCTGAAACAACCCATCCCTTACAATTTCAGTATACACAAATGGAAAGTCACCGTTCCTGCAGTCATGGTCCTCCAAGAGGACCTGGCAACCCAAGGTCTATCAGTATTATTAAAGGTTGAGGCAAAGAGAAATGTCTCTGCTTTTTCTTTATCCCTATTAGTCAGATGGCCATCTCCAACAAGTATCAGTCCAATGTTTTCTCCAGACCTTCTCTTGCTGCTGATGTACTTAAAAAAAGCCCTTCTTGTCTGACACAACACTGCCCAGTTTCAACTATAATTGAGATTGGGCATTTTATGTCTTCTACCTGCATGTATGAACCACAGCTCTGTAATCATCCTGTGAAGACTGACCTTGCTTCCAGAGATCATACAATTTTTCCTTCCTCTTGAGCTCCATGAGGAGTTGCCTGCTTAGCCCAGCTGGTCTTCTGCCCCACTTGCCTGTCTTTCAACACAATGGGATTGCCTGCTTCTGTGCTTTTAAAAGGTGGTTCTTAAATGCTGACCAGCACTTGTGTATCTCTAAGCCCTCAAAAGCAGATTTCCATGAGTGGTGGTGCAGTATCCCCTCTCCTTGGACTCCTCTACGATCTCAGGAATTCCCATAAGGCTTTGACCTTTAAGTAATGAGTTGAGCAGTTGTACTGGGGCCTGGCCTGTGCCTATCGAGTCACAGTTCAGTACGCTCAGAGGACTGTAGTGGAGGCAGGAACCCAAATTGCATTTGAGGACACTATGGATGAGATAGGGACTCAAAACACAGGAAATACAGTAATTGCCCCAGTAGTTGAAAGAATAGATAAGGCAAGCTACAGGTCCATATCATCAATTAGAAAGGAAGGAAGAGGAAGAAGCAGGACAATCAGGAGGGGAGGGGGCAGATCATGAAGCTGGTCCTTCAACAAAGAAATTGAAAGCAGTGAAACAAATCAAATGGAAAACCGAAATTACCTGATCCTTGACCTCATCAGAACTTCAAGACTTGTAGGTAAGCAGATTTCTACCTGGTTGCTTTGATGCTGGGATAATGGGGCTGATAGTCAGCAATTAGGAGGTCATGAAGCCCAACAGCTGGGATCCCTTGCTAGAGATCAGAAAATTGAAAGAGGAATTGGAAAAGAAGGAACAATCTCTAGAGACTGCTCCTCTCAAGCATGAGGGCAAGATATCCATGTAAGGAAGAGCTTGTGAATTCCCAGGAAAGTGGACCACTGCAGATGAAGGTATCCAGTACTTGAGAGAATTAGCAGTGCTGTAGATCATTTATAGTAATCTAAGAAGTGATAGCCCTAAAGATCCAGTGGATGTCCCTTGCACAATGGCCAGGTGGAGGAAGATGATTCAAAGCACCCCTGCATCATATCCAAATAGCTTGGTAGCAATGTATTACCTGCAAATGGATACACCAACTGTAGAGATGGTGTTCTCCTGGTTCCAAAACATAAAAGAAACTCTGGGTACTTCCACATCCCTATGGGTCAGCACATCAGATGTCAGGGACAGCCCAAGAGATCAGTCCTCTCCTGCCCCAGTCAGAGGGGAAAGGAAGCCCCAAATGCAGGCCACTTCCCCTCCCCCCCCCAAGAGAAAAGGGAAAGGGGAAAAAGGGACACTGAACAGATATACACAATCAAACTGAAGAATTATACTAGTAACTAGCAAACCAAATCTCACCACGTCCCTTAGAAAAGTAAGGTTGGCAGACAAGGCCAGCACTCTCCAATCTCCCATGTGGTAGGCCAGTGGTTGCTGAAGGCCTCAGCCTCTAGATAAGTGAGACCAACGCAAGGACCCACTGCCCTGAACCTTGCCAGAAGAGAAGAGAGCGAGGTCTCTAATCTCCAATTTATTTATACTCTAGTTTACCTAAAAATCATATGAAATACTGGGTACATGGCCATTTCCTTGGTTACAAGCTGGTTACCAGGAAGGCCTAGACCAAAACCATCACATAATAGCAGAAGGGTAGAGTTGCCAGACAGGGCATATGGCTTTGGCAACCACTGTCTGGCAAATAGTTGGACTATTCTGCATGCCCTGTGGGACAACGACCCAGTGGAACCTTTTCAGAGGCTCTGCATGACTGAGGGCAGGAACTGAAAAGGCAAAGCGGAGGGCACCACTTGGATGCAGGAAAATGGTGAAGAAACAGTCTTTTAGGTCAATTACCATCAGTGGTCATCCTGCAGGGAGCATGGCAGGTGAGGGAAGTCCTGGTTGGCTCAATGACTGCACTGACTGCTCTGAGATCCTGTAGCATTTACCACTTGCCACTTTTCTTAGGGACACAGAACACTGGAGTATTCCATGGGCTAGAAGTCAGTGCTATGTGGCCAGCATCCAGCTGTTCTTGGACTAAGTTTTGCAGTTGAACAAGCCGTTCCTTTTTCAAGGGCTACAGATCGACCCAAATGGGGTCCTCTGTTTTCCATGTCAGTTTAATAGGTTCATCGAATGGCTCATCAATGGCCTTTAATGAAGAATCTGAGTGTCTTTTGTCTGGTCCTCTCCTGGCACAATATGTGCCAAATTGACACAAGACATCCCTTCCCCACAGGATACAAGGAATGGGAGCTATGAAAGGTGCAAATCTGGCTATCTGTCCCTCTGGCCCCAGCACTGTGCACAGATGAACACTTTGCCTAGGTCTTTGCATGCCTCCCATCCCCTGAATAGATGCCGCAGGGAACACCGTGGCCCAGTCAGATGACCACTCTTTATCCTTTATGATAGTAACATCAGCCCCTGAATCTACCAAGTCTTTAAACTTGAGCCCGTCTATTTGGCAAACCAGCATAGGTTAATAGGCAGAGATGGCTTTTGTCCAAAATATTTGTGGTTCACCTGTGCTCCCAAAAGCCTCGTAGCCTCTCTCCCTCTGCCCAGGTGGTGACAAGATGTAGAAGAGTATTAGCCGAGC